TTGTTCGTGCTGTGAGTGAAGGAAGCGAGAGCAGAAGCAAAGGCAGCGCTTCCCCTGCGCCAAACCCACATCCTGAATCCTGGGGGACGGGGACAGGGACAGGGACAGGGACACATCAGGGTCGGGGGACTCAGCCCCATCAGCCCCCCAAGAAATAGGGGCAAAGGCTGGGCATGGCGTGGGGGCAGAGCCTGGGAGCATTTTGGGATAGGGCACATGGACAGCTAAGGGGGTACGGGATGGGGCATCTTTGCCCTCCCCGTATCCCCTCCCCCATGTAGTGGGGGGACATGGGCAGGGAAAGGGGGTGCCTGCGCCCACCCCCTCTTCCCTTAAAAGCAGGCAGCTCTGGAGTGGAGCTGGGGGGGGGAGGGGGAGGAGAGACCCTCTCCTTGGGGCGGAGAGTTTGGGGGTGCCAGGTGAGTGCCAGCCTGGCACCACTCATCGCTGTCCCTGCCTTTGCAGACACCTGGGGACAGCCATGGCGGGGGACGGGGAGCTCAACCGCGTCATCAAGGACCTGCAGAGTAAGTGTGCCAGCCTGTCCTCTGCCAGCGTGTCCCCTGCATGGCACATCTCACCCTGGCCGTGCCGGGTCCCTCCTCACACCCAGCCCACGGGCAGCAGAGGGGTGTCACTGCTGGGGGTGCACCAGAGCACCCCGGTGCCAACCCTGCCACTGCCACCTGCTTTGGTCCTCTCTGCCAACCCAGGGGGACCAGCAGTGCCCAGCAAGTACCCGCGCCCCTCACTCCCCTTGCTCCCCCGTTTCATCCCGGGGCAGGTTCCTCTTTCACCCGCCGGCAGAAATCCCCGGGGCCGGGAGCCAGGAGGCGTCAGAGAGGGGGTGGTGGGATGGGACAGCATGCCCGATGCCAGCTCAGTCCTGCCATCCCGCAGAGACTGTGGCCGAGCTGAACCACAGCTACCGGGAGCAGAACCTGCCAGTGACGGACGGGAGCCGGGAGCTGCACAGCCTCTGTGCCCAGCTGGAGTTCCTCCTCCAGGTACCCTGCTCCTCCATCCCTGTCACTCCCTGCCTCAGTTTCCCCTGGGGCCCAGCTGAGAGCAGACGGGACCCCATGCCAGCCGTTTCGGGGGGTGGGATGACCCCAGCCAGCGTTGTCTGACCCTGAGCATCCCCAGCCGTGCGAACACCCGGATCAGGCTCACCCACACCTGCATGTGTAATTGCACGTGCTGCAAAAGGGAAACTGAGGCATGGAGCCAGCAAAGTGGGGACACCGGGACCCACCCTGCTAGGGGAGCTGGCTGGATCCCAGCCCCACAGGGGACAGGCTGGATCCTGTCCTCCCAAATGAGCAAGCCCGGGCCCGTGTCTCTGCCAGTTCGACCTCAAGGAGAAGAGGAGCTTCTTCGGGCAGCGCAAGGACTATTGGGACTTCTTGTGCCAGGGCCTGGCACGGCGCCGGCAGGAGCACGAGGGCGTTCGCTTCGTCACCTCCCTGGACAAGGTGGGCACGGGCTGGCGGGGCACCCGGGGTCTCGTGCACACACACGTGCATGCGCTTGTGCTTGTTTGCGGGTGCACACACACACTTGTGCGCGGGCACACACTCACACGGGCACTGAGGATTCACCCACTGGCACTTTCTCCCCTCTGGGGTCCCCCGCTGCCCCCCTCCAGCCCTGACCCTGGGGACCCCCTTCCCTCCTGCATGGGCTTATGGGGAGGCATGTGGGGGGCAGGGCTGGTGTCACAGGGCTGGATAACCCCCTCTCCCCCCAGCTGAAGACCCCCGTGGGCAGGGGCCGAGCCTTCCTGCGGTACTGCCTGGTGCACCGGCAGCTGGCAGAGTCCCTGCAGCTCTGCCGCCTCGACCCCGAGAGCCTGCGGTGAGAGCAGAGGGCACGGGGAGGGGATGCTCGGGGTGGCGGGAGGCACGGCCAGGGCAGGGGGGCACCCGTTCGGCAAGGATGCTGCAGGAGCTTGTGCCCACCCAGGGCACGGAGGGGTGCGTGAGCTCGTTTTGTGGTTGCAGAGAGTGGTACTATGCCCGCAGCCCCTTCCTGAGCCCCCAGCGCCGGGCAGAGATACTGGGCAGCCTCTACGAACTGGATGGCGTCACCTTCCACCTGGCCCTGCGCAGGGCTGACCTGGACATCGCCTGGCCCATGTTCTCTGAGTGAGCCTGGGGAGGCGGGAGGCACTGGGGGCACTGGGGGCTTCAGGACCACCTGGGGATCAGCATCGCAGAGCAGCACACAAGCATCCCCCTGCCACCCCGGGCTCCCCGCACCCACAAACATGCCACGCGTGCATGCACACGCACATGCCGCCATCCTCTGCCAGGCACAGGTCTGCTGCAACGCCGTGACATGTGAGACACGGGGACACACACGTGTGCGTGCACGCCCTTGCCCCCGGGGCACACTTGCAGGGGAGCACTCGTGGACGCAGCGCTCTAGCACACTCATGCCTGCTCTGCTGCTCGTACACTCATGGGCATGCACTGCCACAAGCACAAACGCAGTCCCCAATTCTCCCCTGCCACTGCCATGGGGGTCTTTGGGTGCCACCTGCTCTGCAGGTGTTCGGGCTGATGGCAATAGCCTCCCTGGTCCCCTGTCAGCAGGTGCCACCCAGTGTCACCAGCCCTGCTGCCCTCTGCATCTCCAAAGGCTGACCATGCCCAGGGAGCCCTGTGGGGAGGGTGGTAGTGCGTGGCTGAACCTGAGGATGACCTGGTGGCCCTGAGCCCTGTGTCCCCTCTAGGACACTGATACGGCCCAGCCCAATGGCTGGGAGCAGCCCAGCAAAGATGGCCCTGCAGACAGATGATACTGGCACCGGGACGCATGGATGGCCTGATGTAATCACCCGTCCCACTGCGGCACGCCATGGGGTGCCAGCCCACCCGTGCCCACCTGCCTTGGCTGCCCCGCAGGCAGGGGGTGTAGAGGTAGAGGAGGAAGGTGTGGAGCTGAAGAAGAACGTGGAAGAGGAGGATGAAGAGGAGATAGAGGACAATGAGGAGGAGGAGGAGAAGGCAGAGGATGTGGAGGTAGATGTGGAGGAGGATGTGGAGGCGGAGGACATGGAAGAGGAGGATGAAGAGGAGTTGGAGGAAGATGAGAAGGAGATGGAGGATGTGGATGTGGAGGAGCTGGAGGATGCTCACGGCGCTGGCAAAGCACCCCAGCCTGATGGTGGCGAGGAGCCTGGCATGTCCCCGCTGCCCAGCACAGGGTGCATGCCAGGCTGCTCACCGCCGGCACCCAGGCAGCTGGGCGAGACGGAGGCATCCCTGCAGGCACTG